ATATCAGATACTTTAAGGTTTTTATTCAAGTAATATTCTTAGAGAAGACTTTAACTTTTACCAAAGTATTTTTATGATAAGATACTTATTTGTTAAAACAGATTTCATACTTTTTAAAAGTGCGTTGTAGACATTGATTTATGAGGTTCTTCACAAGCTAAAAAAATACACCAAATTTTTCACATTTTGCTAAATATTTTTTTTTAAATTAGATGAGTTTGTGTTTCTTGATCATCTCCAGCTGGGATCGCGGTGCTTTTACTGCGAAAGGTCGAACCGGATGTTCCTCCTTCAGTTGCTGATAGCTTAGCAAGCGAGTGAGCTATGTCCGTGGAGTGTCTCTGGTTCCTGTGAAGTGGAAACGGGCTCTGTGGACAGACAAACGGGAGGCCACGAACCCCGTCCCCGAGTCCGTTCGGACCTCCGCGTGTTTTTAAACCACCTTCACGGTAAGACGGACACGAGCACGCGCCCGCCCCGCTGCAGTTAGTGCCGCAGGTAAACAACACACACAGGCGGAGCGGGAGCGTTCGTTTTGGTAGCTGCGTTCTCCCGCCAGGGGGGGAGGGGCGGGAGAGGCGGCGGCAGACAGCCGGAGACCGAACCCAGTCTGCGGTTGTCTCTCCGTCCGGGACGTCCCTGCCGTTTCCCCACAGGTGTACCGTCCGGCAGACCCCCTGATGTCYGCGGGACTCAGGGTCCCGCCCCCCCGGCTCCTCCTCAGACCTGATGGACAGACAGAAAAAAAACATGGCTGACGCTGGCCCTGCAGAACCTGCTTCTTGTTTTCATTGCAGATGTTTTGAACTGGAAACTATTTCAACAGACGTCAGTTCAGGGTTCGAACCAGCCTTTTGATCCTCAGCAGGGTTTAGTTTAAAACACAAAAAATATTCAAACAGTTTATTATTAGGTCTGTTTTCCTCAGCTGAATGTTTGCTGCATTGTTTTCATAATGCAGCAACAGAAACATGAAGTTTAACACAATTAGAATTTWAACAGTGTTGTATAAAGTACCACAAAGTGATATTTGAGTAAAAGTACAAGTATCTTACCAAAAACTGACTTTAGTAAAAGTTAAAGTCTCCTTTAGGAATATTACTTGAGTAAAAGTGTTAAAGTATGTGATATTTGTTGTAGTTAAGT